TAACAGCCCTGCTGTCCCCCGAACGGGGTGACTATGAATGAACGTGCTGTGTGTGGCTGTCCCATCTGCTGTAAGAGCTTTGACCTTCTCCCGGGGACTGGAGACAAAGTCCCCCGCCGTGTTGCTGAGAGCTGAACAGATAAAAAGCCCATCTAGGATCTTCTATTTTTTGGCCAGTCTGGTAGGAACTGCCATTCACCTGTTGGATACAACTGCCTATGCGCAAGAGTTTGGGAAAACAGGGAAGTATTCTGTGGGGAACATAAAAGAATGAAGGTGGGTGTATTTTTTGCACAAGTTTCTCACAAATTTGGGGCCCTGTTTTGCAAAACTTGCAAACTGTGAGATTTAAATATTTTTGGAAAAAAAACAAAAGAGAACATAAAGCCTGGGACCTGGACTACTCAACACATCACACACCTCGTATCCACCTCAAACTGCGTCAGTGTATTCACACCAGCTCCATGGGAGCAAGACTCAAGAGCAAAAGGAGGACACCCTGTCAGCACTGCGATTTGGCTCCTCATTTTGGAGGAGAAGCTGAGGCTGTCACCCACGTGCTTACCTGGTACAGAGCCTGTTTGGCCTTGTGGTGGGTTTCTGGCAATGACTGCCTGTCTTCCTCCCTCTTCACTCCCACAGCCCATTTCCGATGGGGGTTGGTGTTATGCCACACTGGTGGTACACAGATCTTTTGGCTAATCCCTTTCCTCTTGTGTCCTGGGGTGATAGTCCCCAAGAGCTGCCAACCCTATCAAGATGTTCCTGCCTTGTAGCACATCTCTGCTTCAGGCATCTTGTTGGATTTTGTTGATGGACTTGACTGCTAGCATCCAGTCAGTGCAGTAACAGCCAAACCTTGTGCTGGTGCCAAAGTCAGGCCTGTCCCAAGCCACAGCTCTGTCCCCTGGTCCTGCCTGCTTAAGCCACCTGGGTGTGCAAGACATCCTAGGGCACTGGGACAAGCAACAGCAACACATCATCTCACAAATGCTTTGCCTTGATCTCCCAAGGAGGTCAACCAAGCACCCAACAAGGGTGTCATGGTTTAACCTCAGTTGGCAACTGAGCACCACGCAGCCGCTCGCTCACTCCCCCCGCAGTGGGATGGGGGAGAGAATTGGAAGGGTGAAAAGTGAGAAAACTCGTGGGTTGAGATAAGGACAGTTTAATAAGCAAAAGCCGCGCAGGCAAGCAAAGCAAACCAAGGAATTCATTCACTACTTCCCATGGGCAGGCAGGTGTTCAGCCATCTCCAGGAAAGCAGGGCTCCATCACGCGTAACGGTTACTTGGGAAGACAAACGCCATCACTCCAAACGTCCCCCCCCCCTTCCTTCTTCTTCCCCCAGCTTTATGTACTGAGCATGACGTCCCATGGTATGGAATATCCCATTGGCCAGTTTGGGTCAGCTGTCCTGGCTGTGCCCCCTCCCAGCTTCTTGTGCACCTCCAGCCTTCTCAGTTGGTAGAGCACGAGAAAAGAGCAAAAGTCCTTGGCTGGTGTAAGCACTACCTAGCAACAACTAAAACATCGGTGCCTTATCAATTTTGTTCCCATCCTAAATCCAAAACACAGCACTGTACCAGCTACTAGGAAGGAAATTAACTCTATCCCTGCTGAAACCAGGACAAAGGGCTTGATAGAGGTACTAGCTAGCCTAGCTCATGGGGCATTTGCTGCCTGTGTGGTGAGACTCTGTACCTTGCCCCATGGGGGTACTGAGGTGTGTACCAGGGCTGTGCTCAGAGAAAGGGACCTCTCATGTTGAGCCATATCTGAGTCCAAGCACTGGGCTGCTGCAGAAGGTGCAGATGGCATATAAGGGCATACTTTTTGACCTTGAAGACAGTCAAGCAGTGGAGAGGTCATGCAAGGGAGGTTGTGCAGCCTCTGTCCTTGGAAGTTTTCAAGACCCAGCTGTATGAAGCCCAGAATAATGTGGTCTGACACTAACAGCTGACCCTGCTTTGAGGATAAGGTGGGACTAGAGATCTTCTGGGGTTCCCCCACTCATGTCAGGGTTGTTCTGTCTCAAGAGCTGTGTCCATATGCTCTGCTCACCTGTGGCATCTGGGAGAACTTGCCTGCTCCTGCAGCCATGGCCCATACCTTTCCCTTGGAGCTGCGGTGCTTGCCCTGCCTCTTCCCCATGGGAAACTCCCTACATTCCCCATTCCTCCACACTTCGCCCATTTGCTGGAGTGGCAGCCCCCAGCTTAGGTTTGAGTCACCATATAGCAGATATTTGCAGTTTTTCTTTTCAAGACTGACAGAAGATGGACACACAACATGGAAAAGCATTTGGTGAAGTGAAAGGACCTGTATCTCCTGTTTAAAGTGTGGGAAATTTCCCAGATTTCCATGCTTTTCATCAAAATTCTCCCTTCTCCAACCCATTTCCTCCCCAAAAGCCCCTGCCTGTTCCTCACCTAAAACTCACTTCTCCCCAAATGTCCCTGCTCAATGTTCTGGCCACTCAGCACATCCTGACATCTACTTACCTATGCAGCCACCTCACAAGATGATTTCTGTTCTCCTAAGCTTTCTTTTTTTGCCCAGTCTTGGGCTTTTCCTAGCACTCCCTCCCCGCTTTTCCCTCACACTGTTGAGGCCAGGCTCATTACAAAGAGCCCAGGCAACACAGAGACAAGGACGCAGAAAACGGGTATGTACTTACATTTCCAGCCCAAGTATCCACTGACCAGGAGTCCTTCACTCACCCTGCAGTGCCTTCCCATGGCACAGCCTGATGGCCCAGGGAAATCCTCCTTCTCAAGGAGTCCTTTTTAAGGCAAGTCTTCCTGGAAGTGCCTTATGTTTTATCACTCCACTGCTGCATCCTGAAATACGGTTTTCTTTCATACCCGTGTTCCCATCCTGCACGAATGGGTCTGGAGTGGTACCTCTCAGATATGGTTTTGAGTTGTTCTTGAGTAATTCTTCCTGGTACTGGTTCGCAAAGAGTTGCAAATAGCAATACTCACTTCTGTCAGCCTGCGGGATCACCTTGGAGATATTTGAAAGCCATCTGGACATGATCCTGGGCAATTGGCTCTAGGTGGCCCTGCTTGAGCAGGGGGATTGGACAAGATGACCTCCAGAGGTCCCTCCCAACCTCAGCCATTCTGCTATTCTGTGACATCATGCAGTGGGATCCCTAACCACTCCCACACAGGTGGAGACGTATCACGCTCATCTCTCCAGAAAAATAATGGATACAGGGCCATGGATCCTGGATTCAGTTTCCTGACACTCTTCTGGTATGGCTGGAGGTCTTCTAGGTACACCACTGTGCACATCCCTTGACGAAGCTGCAATATAGGTGTGACCTGAAACATCCTTGGCTGCCTGCAGTCCCCAGGGTTATCTGTTACATTTGGGTTGGCAGATAACCACAGGCTTACGGGACACTCAAACCTTTTTTCGCTGGAACAAAAATAAAATGATGTAGGGCATTTCCAGCAGCACTAGTGATCTGTGTTCAAGCAGTCAAAGCAAGCTCCCCTCAGTTGTTCACTCCTTAAATGTTGCTGATTGTATTGACTAGATTGTCATTGACTTTGATGGGCGTGTAGGTGCTGACTTATGTCTAGATACCTACAGTCGGATGTCATAATCTTGAACTGAATCCCATTCTTATATCCAGTCAACTGAATCTCTCTCCTTACTCTCTACTTTCTGGTGGGAGGAACTGATTACCATGGGATGAACTATATCAATATGCCAAAAATCTGTTAGCATATTTTTCCTGAAAATACACACAACTTTTTTTTCTGACTTTGCTGGAATTTTGCTACAAGTTAGGTTTATGTATGCTGGAGTTGTGTTCTTATGACAGTGATTTATTTTAGACGTGCTTGAAAGCTAGCCATTGTCTAGAAGAAGGGAAAAAGGCTTAAACATTTTGTAGTTAATGTACAGATTTTATGGCTTATTTCTCTGTAATATTTTGGACAGTTACATTAAATATATTCATTTATTCATTATACAGATTATGTACATTTCTCAGTATTTGCCAACAAAAGCTAAAATGTTCAAACCCTTTACAGACTTTGAGGAATGCATTAATTCTTTGACTTTTAACCTTTCAAGCATGAACAATTTTCAGAAAATTGGTAAGACTATCTAGGCAGAGGCACCTTGCTGAAGAATTGTCTTCTCCCAAATGTCCTCCTCAGAGCATGCTTTACTTTGTTTTGTAAGCCGTAGATGATTGGGTTCAGCATAGGAGTTACTACTGTGTAAGAAAGAGCCACCAGTTTCCTGCTGTTTGCCAAGAAACTTTGGACTTGGACTTTAAACGTGTCAAGCCAGTTGTGCAGCAGAACAGTGTCACCACCATCAGGTGAGCAATGCAGGTGAAAAAAGCTTTCCATCTTCCTTCGGCAGATGGCATTTGGAGGATGGTATGGATCATCTGGATGTAAGAGGGAGCTGTCAAGACAAATGGGATCAAAACAATTACAACAGTAGCAACAAACACAAGAAGCTCGAATAAGTGTGTGACTGAACAGACCAGATCCAGAATGGGAGAGATATCGCAAAAGAAATGCTCAATCTCCTTTGAGCCACAAAAGGGGTAGCTAAATAGCCAACCAGTGAGACCTACAGAAAGCAGAATACCAGCAATCCAGCATGCTATGACCATATGAATACACACTTTCCTGTTCATTGTTATGACATAATGCAAGGGATGGCATATAGCCATGTATCGGTCATATGCCATGGCACCCAAGAGGAAACACTCAGAAGTGATGAAGAATATGACAATGTATAGTTGTAGGGCACAGGCAGAAAGGGAGATGACCTTTCTCTCCAACAACAAATCCACAAGCATCTTGGGCACTATGTTTAGTGTAAAGCAAATGTCAATTAAAGCCAGGTTTTTGAGAAAATAGTACATGGGGGTGTGCAAGGCAGGGTCAGTGGTTGCAGCTACGATGATGAGAAAGTTCCCTGTCAGAGTAATTGGGAACATCAGAAGAATTCCCTCGAAGAGGAAGACCTGAAGAGCGGCGAGGTGGGAGAACGCCTGCAAGGTGAAGTAGGTCTAGTTTCTGAGCCCCGATGCTTCAACAGCTTCCACGTGAAAGAGAAACAACACGACCTGTATAAGCCAACAAGGAAGACATGAGAAGAAAAGTCTCTATAGGGATGAAGAAAAAATAGTGAGCTGCTCTGGAACTGGTTCCATTATTTAGTAAGTGGGACAATCAAATATAGCTGGGCAAATAACCTTTTGAGAGGCACACTAAAAAAAAGTGACACATGATAAAAACAAGGTGATAAGAAAAAACAATGATCTTCACTGCAGAAGAGCTAAGATTTTCCTTATAGTTTGTCTGTTTTCCTTTTTAATTAGGCTAAAATATTGCCATGTCTACTTCATATTTCAGTTCAACTGGTATTTTCTGAAATATGTTTTCATCAACAATTCACTTATTTCATTTTCTGTGTGCAAAATATGAATTAATTTCCTACAGAACTGAAATCTAATTACATTCTCTGCTCTATTTTTAGCAAAAAAAAAGTTTTCCCCTGTTTCCATATACACATGCAGGTGTATACGTATATACGGATTTCAAATAAATAAAGGAGAATAAAATTGTTGATGGTACAGCCATACGTTTGAAGGGTGGACAGTCATATATTTTACTATTTGGTCTTATCACTGCTAAAATATAAAATAATGACCTGCTAATTTTGTTATTTTTTAGAACTATTGTCGTTCTTTATTCAGTGCCACTGACAATTGCTTATGAATTCAGTATTGTAAGAAACTTTTATCTTGTAGACCATCTGCAATCTACCTGTCCGTATTTAGATATTTGTGATGTAGATAACCGTATCCAAGGTAAACATCTGAATTACCTTCGCAGTTTACGTCTTTACATCAGCTACAAAGGTAAGTCAGAAACCTTGATTCTATTTCTCACTTAATCCAGTTATCTTTATTGGTGTCACTATGTGGGGGTGCCATTCATCAGCACAGAAAGGAGCAGCTACATGCGTTGCAGAAAGCAGTATTAGCTGGGAAAGGTCCTCCCCGACAGTTTGCAGTTAAGGCACCCTCCATCCTGCACTTTGATTATCAACACTGGTTGACCTTCCTATGTTCCTTCATAGTAAAGTGAAGTTACAAGTCTGCATTGTTATAAAACACAACCCCTTTCAGTATGTTACCATCTTGACCTATGTTCCCTCTGATCATCTTAGTGGTCCTCTTCTGGTCTCCCTTCTATTTATTAATCTCTTTCTTGTATAGAGGGATCCCAAAATGGGACACCTTTATCCACAGGTGGCCTTGCAAGTGCCAAGCAGAGGGGAACAGGTGCGTTCCTTTGACCAGCTGGCTAGCTCTTGCTAACACAGCTGGCTAGATGGTTACTCCTCTCCAATGCAGGGACACACTGCTGGCTCACTGTCGTGGTTTAACCCCAGCCAGCAACTAAGCCCCACACGGTGCTCGCTCACTCCCCTCCCAGTGGAATGGGGGAGAGAATTGAGAAAACTCGTGGGCTGACATAAAGGCAGTTTAATAGGTAAAGCAAAAGCTGCGCACGCAAGCAAAGCAAACCAAGGAATCCATTCACTGCTTCCCTTCGACAGGCAGGTGTTCAGCCATCTCCAGGAAAGCAGGGCTCCATCACGCCTAACGGTGACTTGGGAAGACAAACACCATCACTCTGAACGTCCCCCCCTTCCTCCTTCTTCCCTCAGCTTCAGCATGACGTCATGTGGTGTGGAATATCCCTTGGGTCAGTTGGGGTCAGCTGTCCTGGCTGTGTCCCCTCCCAGCTTCTTGTGCCCCCCAAGCCTGCTCGCTGGTGGGTGGGGTGAGAGGCAGAAAAGGCCTTGACTGTGTCAGCACTGCTCAGCAATAAGGAAAACATCCCTGTGTTACCAACATTGTTTCCAGCACAAATCCAAAACACAGCCCCATACTAGCTACTGTGAAGAAAATTAACTCTACCCCAGACAAAACCAGCACACTCACATCCAGCTTGCCATCCACCAGGAACTCCACATCCTTTTCTGCAAAGCTACTCCTCAGGTGGTCAGTCCCAATCTATACCTATGCATCTTTTGTGCCATGGCCAGGACTTGGCATTTGTCTTGAACTTAATGAAGTTCCTGTGTGTGGCCCTCTTCCCAGGTCCCCAGATTTCTGTCATCTGGAAACTCCTGAGGATGTTCTCAATCACATCTTCCCAGTCACTGATGAATATGTGAAACAGCATTAGTCCCAGTATCAGCCTGTGAAGAATGCCTCTTATAACCAGCTACCAGCTAGACTCAGATTGTTGACCACTACCTGTTAAAGCCTTGATGGTCCAGACCATCCTAATCTTTTCCCATCCAGTTTAGATCTTCCCAGTTTGGCTTCAAGGCTACTATGTCAAGAATTGCTGAAGTCATTAAACGACATCCACCACACTGCCCTCACCCACTCTAGGTCAGTCACCTTGTCATGGAAAGGTGTCAGGTTGGTCAGGCATGATGTGTTTTCAGTAAATCTGTGCTGATGTTCCTCAAATCTTTCTGCTTGGCCTTCTTCAAGACAGGCACATTTACTTTTTCTCTGTTGCTGGGAACCTACCCCAATTTGTCAGAGATGACAAATACCAGTCTTGCAATGGCATCAGCCACTTCCCTCAGCACTTTCCGCTGCATCCATGGGTTTGGGTGGGTTCCGTTTACTGAAGTACTCTGTGATTTGATTGTCCTCTGTTGTGAGTAGCACCTCCCTTTCCCAAACTGTGCAACTACTTTGTTTCTTTAAAAGAATCATAGAATCATAGAATAGTTTGGGTTGGAAGGGACCTCTAAAGGTCATCTAGTCCACCCCCCCTGCTGTGGGCTGGGACATCTTCAAATAGATGGAAACATCTTCAACCCTGGAAACATTCAAGGTCAGGTTGGACGGGGCTCTGGGCAACCTGATCTAGTTGAAGATGTCAGGCTGCAATAAGGTCTCCCCAAAGCCTTCTTTTCTCTAGGCTGAACAACCCCAACTCTCTCAGCCTTTCTTCATAGCAGAGGTGTTCCATCCCCTGATCATTTTCATGGCCCTCTTCTGGACCCACTCCAACAGGTCCGTGTCTTTCTTATGCTGAGAGCTCCAGCGCTGGATGCGGTACTCCAGGTGGGGTCTCATCAGAGCAGAGTAGAGGGGCAGAATCCCCTCCCTCGACCTGCTGGCCACGCTGCTTTTGATGCAGCCCAGGATACGATTGGCCTTCTGGGCTGCGAGCGCACATTGCTGGCTCCTGTTCAGCTTTTCACCCACCAGTACCCCCAAGTCCTTCTTGGCAGGGCTGCTCTCAATCCCTTCA